AAAACCCCAAAACCCCTGAACCCTAAACCACGAGAACGCAAGTGCCCCCCGGCTTGGCTGCTTCTCCGTAATTTGCCGACGCTCCTGGACAACGTGGGAAGGGGACCTAAACCCTACACCCTAAACCCTAAACCCTAATATTTGGGTTTATGGTATAGGGTTTAGGGCTTAGGGTGAATGGTCCGGGGTTCGAGTCAGGTGACTCAGGGGTGTAGGGTGTAGGGTTTAGGATCTAGGGTTAGCTGCATTAATCCCAAGAGATGAAATAATTGTCATTCCATTTTGGGTGCAGGGTTATGTTTTTGCGGAGGGTGGTTCCTTAAGCCGTGAACCCGAAACCCTAAATCCTTAGGTTTGGGCCCTATAAACCCTAAGCTCTAAACCCTGGATTTGGGGTTTAGGTTTTAAGGTTCAGGGAGCTCTAGAAGCTGGGATATTTGGTGAGGTTGAGCATTTCAAATTAGGAGCTTATGGCTTAGGGTTTTAGGTTTTAGGTTTTAGGTTTTAGGTTTTAGGGTCTAGGGTTTAGGGTTTAGGGTTTAGGGTTTAGGGTTTGGGGTCTTCAGGAACAGGGTTTTGGGTCGATAGGGTGGTCCAACGTGTAATGCTGGGGACTTTGTGCGAAGCACGCAAAATCTGATAAATCATACATGCACTTGTGAAGTTTGGGTTTTGGTTCGGGCTTTACGGGTGCAAGGTCGCGTTGGGGCTAATTGGCTCAGAACTTGGCTTTCGGGTTCAAGGGTGCTGCAATTCGTCTTTTCTTGGTCCCACTATGTCCCTTGTTGCTGTCGCTTGTTCATCACTTCTTATAAATACCCTACATGGGTAGTTCTCCAAATTAGGGTCCCTTTTTCGGTCCAAGATATAGTACGGCACCCTTGTACTGAGGACCCTAATGAAATTAGAGAACCACCCACACGCAGGGTTCAAAAGCTACAAAGTTAAAGGGTTCGGGGCGCAATGCAATTAGTGATTTTGGGCTTGGGGGGGGGGGGGGGGGGGGTGCTGAAAACCCGAACCCCCATCCTGCGCGAAACCCTAAACCCTAAACCCTAACCCTAAACCCTCAACCTGAAACCCTAAACCCTAAACCCTAAACCCTAAACCTGAAACCCTAAACCCTACACCCTAAACCCTAAACTCTAAACCCTAAACCCTAAGAGCCCATATCTGTATAAATATGTACAAACCAATAGAATAACGCAACAACCCTGGATAAAACCCTAAAAAGTCAGAACGCAAAAACTAAAAGCACGAAATAAATCCCCAAAGACCCTGACGCAAAAGCCAACCAAAAACCCCCCAAAAATATGCGTTACATAAACACCTAAAGCCCCTAAAAACCCTGAAAATGTATTTTACATAAACACCTAAAGCCCCTAAAAACATCTAAAAACCCTACATATTTTACAAAACCACCTACAGGGTGGGGCCCCCTTACTATACTAACTGTAGTTAAGGGACATATAACCTAACTTAGGGTCCCTATAACCCAATTTAGGGCCCATATAACTCTACTTATAACTAGGGGGCCCCACCCTGTAAAGCCCCTAAAAGAGCCATCAAGCCCCCAAAGGCTCGTGGTCAAACAGAGCTCGGGGCCCGCCTTCACGCGCCGGTCTTCATGGATCTCGACCACGTAGAGGGGGCCAAGCCTGACCGAGTCTTTAGGGTTTAGGGTTTAGGGTTTAGGGTTTAGGGTTTAGGGTTTAGGGTTTAGGGTTTAGGGTTTAGGGTTTAGGGTTTAGGGTTTAGGGTTTAGGGTTTAGGGTTTAGGGCTGAGGTTTAGCGTCTAGGGTTTAGGGTTTGGGGGTTTAGGGTTTCGGGTTTCGGGTTTAGGGCTGAGGGTTTGGGACGTCTTTCGGTTTAGGGCTTAAGTTTCGGAAGGGGTACAGTAGCGTGGAAGCCTTCGGGCTGGGGTTGTAGGGTTTGGCATCTCTTGTTTGGGAGCACCAGGACGATAGTCGGCATGTAGCAGGACTGTACGGGCGCTGGTACCGAACAAATCCTTCGTTCGCTCCACCTGCTCCCAGTTTATTCTAAGCCTTCCGCCACGCAGGCTGAAGGTCTGAACCCTCTATTCCCAAAAACCGAAACGGCCCTAAGCCAAACACTTGCACCCCAAACCCCCAGATCCCAAACTTCAAACCCTAAACCCTAAACTCTAAACTCTAAACCCTAAACCCTAAACCCTAAACCCTAAACCCTAAACCCTAAACCCTCACCCGTCAGGGCCCGAACACCCCAAGCCCCAAAACCACTGCCCCCTTGGCACCTCAGGGTTTAGGGTTTAGGGTTTAGGGTTTAGGGTTTAGGGTTTAGGGTTTAGGGTTTAGGGTGGTTTAGGAGGCCCCTTGGCACCTCAATACCTGCCCGATCTTCTCCAAACGCGTGGCAGCAACAGAGAGCTGGATCTCCCTGAAGGTGAGGGTTTAGGGTTTAGGGTTTAGGGTTTAGGGTTTAGGGTTTAGGGTTTAGGGTTTAGGGTTTAGGGTTTAGGGTTTAGGGTTTAGGGTTTAAAGGGTTTAGGGTTTAGGGTTTAGGGTTTAGGGTTTAGGGTTTAGGGTTTAGGGTTTAGGGTTTAGGGTTTAGGGTTTAGGGTTTAGGGTTAGGGTTTAGGGTTTAGGGTTTAGGGTTTAAATAGGGCTTGGGGGTTTGGGGCTTCGGGCTTGGGGTTTGGGGCTCAGGCTGTATGAGCTTTTCTTTAAGGTTCATGTTATGGGCAGTTGTAGTCCCCGGGCGTTTTCAGCTCTAGCAGTTTTACTTGAATCCCAGGTTGCCCATGAACCGAGGATGAAACACGGTGCCCGTTTGTGCTTACAGTGGTTTATAAGGGAACCCCTAGAAAAAGGGAACAAGGGTACTACTGGGCATCCTAGACCCTTAACCCTAACAGAGTAGTTCTAGGCCCCCGGCGTAACTATAGGTTGACACGCGGGCAGACGTTTCTCTGGGGGCACCCCAGATGCCCTACCTATAAGTACCCATGAGCCTCCAAGTAGAGAGTTCCTCAACCCTAAACCCTAGCCCTAAACCCTAAACCCTAAACCCCAAACCCGAAACCCTATAGAAACCCTAAACCCTAAACCCTAAACCCTAAACCCTCAACCCTAACCCCCAAACCCTAAACCCTAAACCCCAGAGTGTTCCCTAAAGCTTAAGCCCTGAACCGCAAGTTTCAGAGTAGGGTTTATTGGTGCTTTTGAAAGCAAAATCTGAAGAGTAGGGTTTAGGGTTTAGGGTTTAGGGTTTAGGGTTTAGGGTTTAGGGTTTAGGGTTTAGGGTTTAGGGTTTAGGGTTTAGGGTTTAGGGTTTAGGGTTTAGGGTTGAGGGTTTAGGGTTTAGGGTTCAGGGTTCAGGGTTCAGGGTTCAGGGTCAACCCAAAACTCTAACCCTAAACCTCAAACCAAACTTTCAGACCGCGGCCCTTGTGTCGGGATGTCTCGGGCTCTCTTGGAGGCACATCGACCCTTGATAGCAGGGGTTGAGAGTTCTTTAGGTTGTCGATCTCAAAGAATGACACAGACCCCCCGCTCCGAGCCTTAAACCCTAAGCTCCCAACCAAGAACCCTAAACTCCAAACACAACGACACCGAACCCAATCCCGCACCCGCAAAAGCACACACCGAACACCCCCCCCCCCTCCGGTTTAGGGTTTAGGGTTTAGGGTTTAGGGTTTAGGGTTTAGGGTTTAGGGTTTAGGGTTTAGGGTTTAGGGTTTAGGGTTTAGGGTTTAGGGTTTAGGGTTTAGGGTTTAGGGTTTAGGGTTTAGGGTCCCTCCCCGCAAACCGTTGAACACAAAAACTCCCACAAGAGAACAACAATCCCAAGGCCAAAGCACCCAAACCCGAAACCCTACAATTCAAACCCCTTACGTTCAATTCGAGGGAAGACTACAAATCCCCAACCCAAAACCCTAAACCGCAAGTAACCCCACTCAGGCCCTTATCGGGTCCTTCTGGAGGGGTGCTGGGAGTGCCGAATGGTGTTGAGGATTTCGGGCTTAGGGCTTCGGGTGTAGGGTTTAGGGGTTGAGAAACTTCAAGAGGTATATTGGGTTCTTTGGGGGGGGGGTTTTAGAGTTCAGGGCCAAACCCTAAACCCATAACACATAAACCCTAAACCTTAAAACCCTGTACCCTAAACCGTAATCCTTAAACCCTAAATTGGGCTTTGTGCTTTCTGGGGTGCTTGGGGCTGTGCGCGCCTTTTATCCCAATGCCACGGCAGCGCTTTCGCCGCCAGGGTGTCGTTCTGGGCCATCATGTAAACCTCGGATTCTGGAGGGTTCAAGGCTGCTTAGGGTTTAGGGTTTAGGGTTTAGGGTTTAGGGTTTAGGGTTTAGGGTTTAGGGTTTAGGGTTTAGGGTTTAAGGTTTAGGGTTTAGGGCTTAGGGCTTAGGGTTTAGGGTTTAGGGTTTGGGGTTTAGTGAACCGCATGAGCTCGGACAGGTGGCTTCCACTGCCCTGAGCCAAGAAACGACCCAAAAGCTCGGAGCTCGAAACTTTTAGGGTTTAGGGTTTAGGGTTTATGTAGGGTTTAGGGTTTAGGGATTAGGGTTTAGGCTGTAAAGCTTAAAGTTTGGGGCCTAAACCCCAATCCCTGGGCCCAATTGATAAACCCTAAACTGGAGGGATGTACAAGCAGCCCACCTGTCGCTAGGCTCCTACTTGTGAGGGCTGAGGACCTGGCCAGCTCCTACTTCTGAGGGCGGCGCGAACTGACACAAGACCAAGATGCAAACAGATGCGCTTGGCAGGACCCTGTATACAACGCGGCTCGCGTATGCTTCCCTAAACCCTGAACCCTGAGCCCTGAACCGTGAACCCTCATGGGCCATTGGGGCTTCGGCCTTTAAACCACTAAGCCCCCCAAAAATCATGAACCCCTAAACCAGCCCTAGGCCCTACGCCCTACACCCTAAACCCTCAACCCTAAACCCTACACCCTGAACCCTAACCCTTAACCCCTAAACCCTAAACCCTAAACCCCTAACCTTAAGGCGAACAGGCCGCGCTCTTGTTGACAGCCGACTCAATGAAGTCGCTCAGGGCGTAGTTGGGACCACGGTCGCCACAGCATACCTCCAAGGAGGAAGGGTTTGGAGTTTAGGGTTTAGGGTTTGGGGTTACTAGGGTTTAGGGTTTAGGGTTTAGGGTTTAGGGTTTAGGGTTTAGGGTTTAGGGTTTAGGGTTTAGGGTTTAGGGTTTAGGGTTTAGGGTTTAGGGTTTAGGGTTTAGGGTTTAGGCTCCGCAGCAGACCTCCATTAAGGGGTAAAAGGAGGGAAAGCTAGAAGGGACCCTTAATCTTATTCCCCTATATAACCCCTATCTCTCTCTCTCTCTATATATGTATATATATATATATATACATATATACATACATACATATGTATATATACATACATACATATGTACATATATACATATATACATATATACATATATACATATACATATATATATATTATATTATACAGTCCATACATACCTAAGTAGCCCCCAAATGACCCTCAATACCCCTTCAGGTCCCTCGTAAGGGTCCCTCCCCAGCCCCCCTCAAAACCCAAACCTCAAACCCGAAAAATCCCTAACCCGAAAAACCAAAAACCGAAAAAACCTGAGCCCCAAACCCGAAAAACCCTAAACCGTAAACCCTAAATCCGAAACCCGAAAACCCGAAACCCGAAAACCCGACAAGCACGAAACCCTAAGCGTTCAAACCCTAAACCCGAAAAAAAAACCCAAACCCGAAAAACCCTAAACCCTAAACCCTTGACATAAACCCTAAACACTAAACCCAAAAAACCCTAAAGCCCTTGCGGCCGCAGCGGCGTAGACGGAATGGAAGAACTGCGTGAACCGGCGGCGAAAGGATCTGAAAGCCAGCGCCACCGCATCCTCCACAGCTTGAAGGGGGGTTTCGGGTTTAGGGTTTAGGGTTTCGGGTTTCGGGTTTAGGGTTTAGGGTTTAGGGTTTAGGGTTTCGGGTCAGCACTGTGCAGGCGTCCTCCGGGTGGAACGAGTTCCCACCCAAGCCAAGCACCTTGGTAGGCCGTGTGAACCCTAAACCCTAAACCCTAAACCCTAAACCCTAAACCCTAAACCCTAAACCCTAAACCCTAAACCCTTGTTTGCAACTTTTGGCTTCCGGTTTAGGACCCAGCAGGGTCGGGCTTGAGGCTTTCGAAATCGTGAAAACATGGGCATTGCAACATTTAGGGTTTAGGGTTTAGGGTTTAGGGTTTAGGGTTTAGGGTTTAGGGTTTAGGGTTTGGGGTTTAGGGTTTAGGGTTTAGGATTTGGGGGCTTGGGGGCTTGGGGTTGAGGATGTCAGGGTCAAGGGTCTTGAGGCCTAGAAGAAGATTTGTTATAGTTTGGGAAATCCACCAGTTGTTATCCGTTAAGCCATGAGCAGGGGCGCGCCTAACCTTTTTACTCAGAGGGCTTGAGCGTCACAGGTAAGTGCAACATACATGGAAGCAAAAGTGGAGGGAATGCACAGATATAAAATACACCCCCCTCGTTGAAGCGTGAGAATGCTGAAACGCAGTCAACGAATCCACGGCAAGCACTACGTGCTGCGTTTTGCTCCTCTACTGTATGTTCAAAGTGCGCTCACCCGAGTTTTAATTCAGGTTCAACGCCACAGATCACCGCGCACCAGCTTAAGAAATTTGAAACGCCGGCGGGGATACAAAGGTGGCTCGTGCAAAACAGTGGTTCACTCAGCACCGACCTCAAAAGAAAGGAAAACAGAGCGTCACGGTCAAGATGCTAAGCTACTCCAGCAGAATTGCGGAACTCAGGACTCACCAGCTGCGATCTCGATGGTCGTAGCGCCAAGGTCCACGGGAGTGCTCCGTAGTGCGACTCCCTGAGCTCCACCAGGATCCTTGATCCTGCCACTGGCGATCACGCCAGGAACTTGAGGAATGCCAGTCGCCCTGCGACCAAGAGTTGTCGCTCCACGACCAGCCACGATTCGTGTCACGATCGGCCTCCCCAAAACGGGGGGCATTTTGCGAGGTCCTTCTTGCATCCGCCCGCGCCTGAGCGGCCCGGGACGCTTCTGCCGATTCCTTCATCCTTCGGCACGTCTCCTTTGCCCCACCATAATTCTCAGAGAGGATCTCGGCCAAAAAGACTGCCAGATGCTTTTCCTCATCGAAGTCCGGGATGCCAATGATGCCCTCCGTAAAGGTGAGGATGTGGGAAACCGCACGGGTGACGCGGATGGTCCGGGCGAATTCCTTCACGCCCATGAAGTTGCCGAGCCAAGCGTAGCCCATAGGTTCGAGGTTGGGGTCGTCAATGAGGCCGGCCAGGACGACATCGTCGGCATTCTTGTCGAAGAACACCATGCGAGCCAGTCCCTCATGATTGACCTTTTTGTTCTCCCAGGCTTTGTTGGAGCCGTAGCCCAACTCACGTTGTTCGCGGGAACGACCTTGATTGGGAAGATAAGCGCATGCCACGCAGTCCTGAATAGTGAGCCGCCTTCTCGTCCAGCCGCCCTTGATAGCGTGGATCGCGTAGGTGTCGTCATGGTCGAACTTGTCCACCATCGACGTGTAGCCGTGCTTCATGAAGCCTTTGAGATTCTGGCGTGCTAACATGATAGCTCGGCCATCTACGCTCTGCTGTCCCCTCAAATCATGCGTTCCAGCGGCCTGGCGAATCTTCGCGGCATCCAACTCCCAAAGGCCCTTCCCAAATTGCTCTGCCAGGGCGTCCAAGACATGGGAGCGCTCACGCGCCATCCACATTCTGAAGGCGCTCTGGGTGGCCCCACGGGTGACGTAGTAGCCGCAGTGGAAGCACTTGTGCTGACCTTCGAGACGGAGCTTGCCACAACTGACGCACTGAACCTGCGTGATTCCCCTGTTCCATCCAGACCGCGGCGCTTGGGTTGCCGGTGCCGTAGAGCGGGTAGCCATTCCTTCATCAGGGACCACTTGCAGCTGACCTTCAGTCAAACGGTTCCTTCCTGAAGGCGACACCTCGATGACATCGGCGTCGGTGTTGAAGCGAACGCGTAGAGGTGGAAGTTCAGGAACGGTGCTCTCGACCTCCTCAAGGATGGGAACATCGAACTCCTCCTTGACCAATGGGGCTTCTTCATGCTCGACATCAGGCTCCTCTTGTGCTTCCTGGAGAGGTCCCACGGCTTCAACAACCATGCTTCCGGAAGATTCGGCCTCCTCTACCTGAGGGGCATTCTCTTCCTCCTCCCGTCCTTCGGGCCCATCCGTGGCGGACCACAAAATTTCATCGGTCCTTGTGTCACGAATATAAAGGACCGTGGACCCGGAGATAGCCTCTCGGCAGAGGACGCCGTCTGATCGGGAGTAAAACAGTCCGGCGCCCTGACCGAGGGCCTCCATGGTGTTGATGACGATCTCGACGGGGCGATCGCTCCTCACGCCAGGGACGTTTTCTCCCGGCCCTACCTCCCGGTCGGCAAAATACACAAAGGCATTCGCGGTGTGGTGCCCGGGGATAAAGCAGGAGTCCAAGATGGCAAAGGCTCGATCCTTGTAGGTGCGGTGGTAGAGCCTGCGTGGAATCTTCTCCAGGGGCAAAACCGGCCGACCTTCCCAGGTGGCAGAATGCACATCCATCTCTGCTTCTGGGATCATGCTGAACCAGGCCTCCGCAAGGATCGAGTCGGGCACCCCTTTCATAGCATCCTTGGAGATGCCTTGGTTCGCCCTAATAAGGGTAGGGTACCCTCCTAGGCCGTAGTACTCGGCGAGGGGGTGGTTGCGGTCGATTCGCAGCTGGAACCTGCTGCGATTGTCGTTCTTGACGACAGTGAGGAGCATCCCGAGGCCATAATCCTTGTTCGTCTTCTTGTTCCAGGCCTCGAGAATCCTCCTCGTAGAGCACCACAATCCATCGCCCTGCAGGCCCGGGACGATCTTGCCACGAACAATGCCGGACAAGGCAGTCTTGTGATGCTGGGGAATGTTGATATACTTGAAGTTCGGCATCTCGTCCTGAAGGATGTCAACCCACTCGGCCTCACCTTCCGGTGGGCATAAATGGATTGTGTCCCAATCGAGGCCCAGCATGTCGACGAGGCACCAATCGTCATCGGTTGTGTAGTAGCCGGACTTGATGGGCTCGTCGTAGTCAGCCTCGTGTGGGCCCTTCTTTGCCCGTTTGGGGGCACTGGACTCAGGGTCGGTCCGCTGACGACTGTAGACCTCCCCCCTGGCCAAAAGCTTCTCCTTAGTCTCCCGCGCCGTTGACGACGATGACGGAACAACGACGGCCTCCCCTGGACGGGGGGCATTTTCCTCGCTCTTCTTGATCATCTCGTCGTAGTCCTCGCGGGTAACATATTCCCCATCTCCCAGGTGAACGTGGTCCTTGAAGTCCCGGTGGACAAAGTGGTTCGGCGCGGTGTCGGGGAACTGCTCCTGGGGTCCTTGGAAGTAGATGTCGTCCCACGGGTCAGCCTCGACAAGCGGCTGATGTGTGGGCGCTACTCTTCCTTTACGGAAGTGATTCAGGAGCTTCTCCTCCACCTGCACGTCCACAGCGAACTTGACGTTAGGCTTTGAGACGTGGCCGTAGTTTTGCAGGATCAGGTCGATGTCAGCTTCCTTGAAGAAGGAGCATTGGTGACGAAGGACCATAATCCTGGCGGTAAAACCCAACCACCTCAACAGCTGCAAACGATAGGCGCTGTCCTCCTGGAAGTGAAAGTGGTCGAATTTGCGGATCTGGCTTGCAGGCGTATTGAAATGCTTGACGGCCAGCCCAAGTTGGGCGGCATAGTCGAGCAAATCCGCCATGATGGTACCCCAGTCGCGCGGGAGGCAGTAGTTGGCAGCGTCGGTCGCAGACGTGAGCAGCACAGTACCCACTGACGCCCGTGACTGTAGATCCGCCAACTTGCCTATCTCCCGGAGAACCTTTGGTCCAATGAACTCCCAGCTCCCCTTTGCCATATGCGGGTAACCACGAAGCCACTCCGTCTTGCTCTTGAAGCCTGGGTCCAAAAACAGACCTCTTTCGCCGACGAACTCGTTCCCGTTCCAGATCATCATGAGGTCAATGCTCACCTGACCACTGGCGCCAGTTTCACGCTCCAGTTGGGTGACTTTTCCCACGGCGAGCTCTACGAGCCGCGTGAGATTCGCACCCCATGTAGGAATGTACTCAACGCCAAGATGATGTGGGAAGGCATTGCCGCGGTTGGCCTTGATGTCTGCCAGCAGATCTGTCTTCCAATTTCCTTCAGTGAGGAACGTAGTTGTAGAGTCTGCGACGATGACAAGGTAGCGCAAACGGCCTCGAGTAGACTCGGGCTGGAGCATGGCCAAACCTTGATCGGTGAGCTTTCCGATTTTGGCCACCAAACCAGCCTCCCTGACGTCACTGAGGGCATATTCGCATGCCAGTGGCCGCGGCAAATACTTGTAGAAGTTATTCACGCTGGCTTCATCCTCCTGGAAAGGCGCCATGGTGCGGTATTCGGAAGACAATGAAGTCTCCCATAACCGGCGATCCCACCACTGGCGCAGGACCTCCGTCGGAGCAACGATTCCAGCGTTGGTGGCTTCCATGTCCGGCGCGCAGAACTCTGCCGCGAGAATGCAGCAGGCAGCTAATGCGTTAGTTTGTTCAGTTTTGCGAGTGCAAACGTGTTTGTGGTCACACGAAAATTGTTGTTGTGCACAAGCTGCATAGTTAGAACGCCTATCGCAAAAGCTTTTCCAATCAATGTGGATGCAATCAGTCATGGCATGTGAATAGTTCTCACTGTCCTTAAGGTCCTGGCCTCTAGACTCGCCATGAACATGACTGCGATCACACTTGTGCGCTGCCAGCCGCTGCAATGGAATCGACGACGCAATGGTCCAAGCTTTCCTTAGTGGTAATCCTTGGTGATTCGTAATCCCCAACATGCAACCATCGCAACGGTAGAACTCAAGTCCAAAATCATTAACCATATGCTGAACATGGTCCCACTTCCAATAGTCGCAATCCTTAGGGAGTTCGAAGGCAACCTGTGGTTTGTACTCTTTGAGC